GAGTGAGAGTGAGTGAGAGTGAGAGAGAGTGAGAGAGAGTGAGAGAGAGTGAGAGAGAGCGAGAGAGAGCGAGAGAGTGAGAGAGGGAGGGAGTGAGTGAGTGAGTGAATGAGTGAGTGAGTGAGTGAGTGAGTGAGTGAGTGAGAGAGAGAGAGAGGATGAAGAGAGGATTAGCAGATTAATACGGGACGCTTTAGAAGAGGGAAACAACTATCAAAGTAGTCTGGTGTTTTTTATCCTTTATGGATCCTGACAGATCGATGTATACTTCTATTGTACTGAAAAGAGCAGCGTTAACATTCATCTAAACTTCTTCTTTTGTGACAGAAGAAAGCCAGTCTACTGGTGAGTAAATGATGGCAAAATGATTCATTTTGAACCGTCCGTTTAAATCCAGAACTTTTTAATACAAAGGGCCAAAAATCGAACTTTATCCTACCGTAAATATATCAAAACTTAATGTTTGATTAGTAATATGCATTGCTAAGAACTTCATTTGAACAACTTTAAAGATGATTTTCTCAATATTTAGATTTTTTTGCACCCTCAGATTCCAGATTTTCAAATAGTTGCATCTCGGCCAAATATTGTGCTATCCTAACAAACTATACACCAATGGAAAGATTATTTATTCAGCTTTCAGATGTATAAATGTATAATAAATGCATGATGTATAAATTTCAAATGGACTTTATGCAAGTTAAGACCTGTTTTTAGAGAACACAGAAGTTTGTATTTCTTATCCTAATATTTCTTCTGCTTTTAATCTTATATTGCTTTTAGACTCATTTTGATATTTTAACTGGAAAACAGCACAAAAACACTGATTTGCAGTTAAAGATGGATGGAGAGGGTGAAAGCGTATCTGAGCAGTGATATGGGATTTGTGGATGGTGAAAAGGCCTGTGGTTGTGCTGTGAAGGAGGAGGAAGAGGAGGAGGAGGAGGAGGAGGAAGGGTGGCACTCACTCTGCATACAGAGCGCATCTGTACAGTTCTTGGACTGCAGCACCGCTCCCTCGCAGTCCTTGCCGCCGTTTTTGGGGGCCGGAGCGCTGCACTCGCGCCGTCTCCAGTGAGTGCACTCTGTCCCACACGTCGACCACTTGCTCCACTGCGTCCACAGACCGTCCACTGCAGCAAACACAGCACAACACACTCAACCGCCCAGTCTACTCACCTCAGTGTCAATCGATAACGTCCATGGCCTTTTTCAAATATTTAAACATTTTCAACAACAAAAAAATATATACTATATATATATATATATAAGCTAATATTTTTAATTCTTAAATGTACAGTAAAATGTATGTATGTTTTAATTTTAAGCAATTTTTAAATATCTTATTTGATATAATAGAATAGAGTAGAATAGAATAGAAGATTATATTTGAGACCACATTGAATTTGATTGATTTTTTTATTTAAATAAAGATTTATATACCCAATTCAATCATATTTATTTTACAAATACTAACTGTAAATTATTCAAATTATTATGCATAACAAATTTTAATGGAAAAGTGAAATTAAAAAAAGAAATAAAATGTAATAAATATGTTTGAAACCATATTGAATTTTTTTTTCAATGTTTAATAAAACATTGAAATAAGGAGCTATTTATCCTATTAAACCTTTTTAATTAAAAAAATCTAATGCATACTCAAATTGTAAATTATTAAAATTATTATACTCATAATATTTTGTAATGACATAAGTTAAATGGGAAAAATTCTATAATATAATATAATAATTAATATTTGAGACAACACTGAAAATGTGGGATTTTAAAAGTTTTAATAAATATTTATTCATCCAATTTAATCCTATGTATTTAAATGTTTAAAAATTTAAATAATAACAATAATATTGTTACTCAAATTGTTAATTACTAAAACTATTATACTGATACCACCTTGAACTGAAAAAAGTTATATGCAAAAGTAAATGCAATATAATAAATCAGTTTGGGAACACATTGAAAATGTGAGCTATAATGTGAGATATAATTATTTAAACACTGAAACAAGGATTTATGCTATTAAACTGTATTTATTTAAAAATTACATTCAGTTGAATTTAAATTACTTTTTTCTTGAGTTGTAAATTGCTCAAATGATTATACTATACAAGTATTATCGGCTATCGGCCAGCACTCTCTCTAAACACGGGCATCAGCGGTTGAGAACGCAACATACGGAGCGTGGTCATACCTGGACACAGCGGGTTGCAGGCCAGTTTCTGGATGGCTTGCCCCTCACAGATGGCTCCTCCGTTCAGAGGCGCGGGATTGGTGCAGCTGCGCGTCCTCTTCTGATAGCCCCGCCCACAACGACTGCTGCACACTGACCACTCCGTCCACGTCGACCAGCCGCCGTTCACTGCAGCCGGAAACACCAGCCAAATTAACTCTTTCCCCGCCAGCATTTTTCAAAAAAGTTGCCAGCCACCGCCAGCGATTTTGATGATTTTCACTAAAATGTTATATTTTGTTGTATGAATATTTGAATACACAATACACCAAAATAAAGATCAGAGCCTCTACTTTTAAACAAAAAAAAATCAGTTTTATTCTAGCTTAAAGCATTCTTTTTTTGTCAACACTTGGATATAGGTAGGTTTCATAAAAATGCATAATTTTAAGCAAATCACATTTTTATCAAACGCTACATCTGGATGATATTCAGTACGATTATCAAAGCATAAATCCAGTAAATCACTTTTATCAACACCTCCAAAGCTTGCACAGACAACATTTTACTCCGTAACATTATGCAGTTTTCATTTATATGCTGTTTATTGCTGTTATTTTTCATACGCATCTGTTTAGATAAGAGATCGCCTGTTTCTCCGTCCTGTTCACGTGTGTTTTTGTTCGGGAGGTTTTGTACTCGTTCAGAAGATGTGTAATAGCGCCCCCAAGTGTATAACAGTGAAAACACGAAAAGCCGTAAAAACTCGTCTTTGGCGGCGGGGAAGCGCTTTCTTCTGAAAGGCGAGATAACTCGTCAATGGCGGGGAAAGAGTTAATGATGAGCCACTCGCTCACTCAGTAAAAACAGACACTAGTTATGTTTCCATCCACCTATTTTTATGCGCATTTTGGATTATCGCATAAAAAACCGCTGGATGGAAACGCCAAGACACGCATAAATTCTAAAACTGCGCATAAAAAAACGTATGCGCACAACTGAGTAGGATAAACTTTTTATCCGATAAGAAAAAATGCACATAAACTACGATGGAGACACATTTACCGAATAAATTCCACCATGCGCATTGAAAAAGTCATGTGGCTTTGCGTTATGAGACGGGATAAATTGACTAGCAGCGGACCGATCTCGTTCACAGCATCTATATGTTGTTTTGGTCGTTCTGAAATGCCTGAGGAAAGTCTGTCGTCAAAGTATTTCTGTATAATTACTGTCTTAAACGACTGCGTTCCCAAACACCAGGCATCCACCTCTAAAAGCAATGACTGCATTTATTGTGTTTCATCTGCTCGCTCTGAAGCGCAAGTCATTTATTACATATGAAAATGATTATATTCAGTGGCTTCTCCTAGTTTTCTTAGAGATATTTAGTGCCAGTTTATCAGGAAGTGACGATTTTGTTCTCTTTGACTCTGACGTTGGATGGAAACAGTGCTTTATTCGCAAATGTTTTATGCGATAGTTTTGCGCATAAGTTAAATTTGCATCTTTGGATGGAAACATAGCTACTGTCGCTGAGACTCATGGGAGTGTGGCGTACAGCAGCCCAATCAATCAGTGCGACGCCAATCAAGAGACGTGACTGTAGTCTCTGTATAACACAACAAGTAGTGATGAGCTCTTGAGCAGATCCTGAAACAACACACTTAAAGCAGTAATCCAGCCCAAAATAAAGCTCTGGCAGGCTGACTGTGTTTCCTCAGTGGAACATCTTCAGCAGGGCGTGACTGAAGCCATACGAACTAATCAAAATAGAAGTGACATTTGAAATCAGATTTTTCTGTGAGTAAGACCAATTAAACATAACTAAAAGCTAATAACTTTTTTAAATAATACAACTTTCGCATTCCCAGAAAATCAAACAAGTTTGGCGCATGATATGGAAGCTTGTTTCTATATTTAGAAGATATAAGCATTCAAAGCTTACAGTCTCTCACTTCAGGCATCTTTTCATCCATCAAAACATCCATCCATCCATCTTTTCATCCATTCATCAAAACATCCATCCATCCAACTTGTAATCTAATCCATCCATCTTTTCATTTATTCATCAAAACATCCATCCATCCAACTTTTCATCTAATCCATCCATCTTTTCATCCATTCATCAAAACATCCACCCATCTATCTTTTCATTCATTCATCCATCCATCTTTTCATCTATTCATCAAAACATCCATCCATTCAACTTTTAATCTATTCATCAAAACATCCATCCATCCATCCAACTTTTAATCTAATCCATCCATCTTTTCATTCATTGATCAAAACATCCACCCATCCATCTTTTCATTCATTCATCCATCCATCTTTTCATCCACTCATCAAAACATCCATCCATCCATCTTTTCATCCATTCATCAAAACATCCATCCATCCATCTTTTCATCCATTCATCAAAACATCCATCCATCCATCTTTTCATCCATTCATCAAAACATCCATCCATCCATCTTTTCATCCATTCATCAAAACATCCATCCATCCATCTTTTCATCCATTCATCAAAACATCCATCCATCCATCTTTTCATCCATTCATCAAAACATCCATCCATCCATCTTTTCATCCATTCATCAAAACATCCATCCATCCATCTTTTCATCCATTCATCAAAACACCCATCCATCCATCTTTTCATCCATTCATCAAAACATCCATCCATCCATCTTTTCATCCATTCATCAAAAAATCCATCCATCCCACTTTTAATCTAATCCATCCATCTTTTCATTCATTCATCAAAACATTCATCCATCCAATTTTTCATCCATTCATCAAAACATCCATCCATCCAACTTTTAATCTAATCCATCCATCTTTTCATCCATTCATCAAAAAATCCATCCATCCCACTTTTAATCTAATCCATCCATCTTCCATCCATCCATCCATCCATCTTTTCATCCATTCATCAAAACATCCATCCATCCATCTTTTCATCCATTCATCAAAACATCCATCTTTTCATCCATTCATCAAAACATCCATCATCCATCTTTTCATCCATTCCTCAAAACATCCATCTATCCATCCATCTTTTCATCTATTCATCAAAACACCCATCCATCTAACTTTTCATCCATTCATCAAAACATCCATCCATCCATCTTTTCATCCATTCATCAAAACATCCAACTTTTCATCCATTCATCAAAACATCCATCCATCCAACTTTTAATCTAATCCATCCATCTTTTCATCCATTCATCAAAACATCCATCCATTTTTCAAACCTTTCAAACTAATTCTTCATCTTGACGAACTGCTTTTCTAGTTAAAAATTAGTATACATTTCTTTGAATTTCAATTCATTTTAATCACTTACATTCAGTTCTGCATCACTTTGCCACCATTCGGACCTGCACTGCAACTGAAGTCATTCCTCAATTCAGTTCTGACTGGCGCACAATATGAGTGTGAGTAAATGAAGAAGTTTTTTCATTTCTAGCTGTCTAATCCATCCATCTTTTCATCCATTCATCAAAACATCCATCCATTTTTCAAACCTTTCAAACTAATTCTTCATCTTGACGAACTGCTTTTCTAGTTAAAAATTAGTATACATTTCTTTGAATTTCAATTCATTTTAATCACTTACATTCAGTTCTGCATCACTTTGCCACCTCAGTTCACATTCGGACCTGCACTGCAACTGAAGTCATTCCTCAATTCAGTTCTGACTGGCGCACAATATGAGTGTGAGTAAATGAAGAAGTGTTTTCATTTCTAGCTGAACTGTTCATTTAAAGAGGAGTCCCCTCACACTCAAGCGGGCCGTTCTATTACAGAGCTCAACCAGCGCCTGCAGCTTCCTTACGGCGCGAACTGCTTTTCAGGGTAGAGCGGAGAGCACTTATAATTACATCAGCCTCACGACGAGGAAGAGAAGTCAATTTATTACAGCACGGGAGAGGCAAACATCTGTTTGCCAGATCTGGGATTGTATCTGTGGGGAAAACAGAAAGCGATCGCAGCAGGTGGGCTGTTTTCACTTGTTGAAGAGCTCCTGAAAGACTCGTCTGCGCTTTACCGCGGGTGCCGAGGTGCAACTTCACAAACCGTCAGCCTCGTGAACGTGTTGCGTTTGTCGGGAAATGTACACCACGTTATTCTTTCAACATTCAAAGCAGAGGCAGCAGCGGCGGGTTAAAACGCTTCCAGCTTGTCAGCGCAGCTTTCTGTTCTTAAGAGGAACATTTTACAGCTCCAGGGATTTTCACGGCAAGATCCGTCCAAAAGAAACTTCAGAGAAGACGGATTGCGATGCGCTGAAGGAAACGCAAGCTACCAAAGCAGCTGGTCAAAGTTTTGCATCAGTTTCAGACGCAGACTTCGCCTTCACACAATCAAAGCTTCAGAGAGATGATCAGGATTTCAAGGTGAAACACTGAAACATTTTCAGTGCACTACAAACCACTCCAAAACCTTAAATTTATATGAAAAACATAAAATAAAATACATAATAAATAATAATTCCCTTTCATATAAACACCTCATAAATAAATACAAAAACACACACACAGAAAAATAAAAACAAACCACTCCAAAATTCTTAGTAAATATAACAAAATATAAATATAAAATATAAATAGCAACTACCTAAATCAACCTATAAATAAATAAATACAAATAAAACAGAAAAATAAATAAATACAGACAAACAAATAAATAAAATAAATACATAGCAAACACCCTATAAATAAATACAAATAAAAATAATAGATAAATAAAAATAACTAAAATACAAACAGACACACAAACAAATAAATAAATAAAATAAACACCTTAGCAACCACATAGACACTTTAAAAAATAAATACAAAAAAGAAAGCTAAAACACAAACAAACTAAATAAACACATAGAAATCACACAGCAATGGACTATAAACCACTCTTAAAACCTTAGCAAATTAAATAAAATACCAATATAAATCTAAATAAATCATAAATACAGATAACTAAAACTACAAATGAGTAAATGATTAAAATAACTATACAAATAAATATTAAACAAACACCTAGAAACCACACAGCAATGCACTAAAACCACTCCAAAAACTTCATCAAATAATATAAAATACAAATATAAATATAAATAAATACAAATAAATAAATGAAAATCTAACAAATTAAACAATAATATTTATAAATAAACAACCCCCTAGAAACCACAATGCAATGCATTACAAACCACTCCAAAAGCCTTAGACAACTCTAGCATTGTGCCCGTGAGTTCAACACAGACAAACAACACGCACGCTTTCTTTATTAAACACAGAAGCCTGAATATACTGACTGTTTGAGCTCAAACTGAAGTTAAAAATAATAAACACCTTAAAGGGCACATTTAAATGCAAACGAGATGCCTTTACAGCTCGTGCTTCGTATACTCCAGTAACATCCAGTTATGCCGTTATATATTTATTTTTAAGAAGCAATAAAGGTGCGTTTATGAATTATACAGATGGTGAGCATTTACGGGTTTAAAATACAGTTTATAAAGCGGCTAGTTCCAGTCCTTGATTCTGATTGGTTGAGCTGCGTTCGACGCTGTTGTAAATTACGCTACAAACATACACCTTTGTTTACGTTTAAACCACGGCTTCACGGGGCTTATTGCTTTAAGATACAGTAAGATACAGTGTGCTCACAAGGTGATTTACAAACATGTATGAAATATGAAGTGAGTCAGCTGTGCTGCACTGGTCAGTGAGTGTGCTGAGACTGACCGTAGACGATGACGGTGGCTGTCGTGCTCCGGCGTTTGGCCACGATGTTCTTGGCGACGCAGGTGTAGTTGGCGGTGTCGGACAGACGGGCCTGTTTGATGATCAGGTTGTGGTCGATGGTGATGTAGAAGTTCCTGTCGTCGGCGGGGTCGATGATCTCCTCGTTCTTCAGCCACTCCACCTGCAAACACACACAAACAGAGCTCAGACACACAGACGTCCATCCGCTCTCAATCCATAAACCACAGCCACAGACTTACAGCCAGGTTTCCGCTTGTGTTTCAATAAAGTCAGAAGTGTTGATGTGTGCGCAAAAGCTCCATAAAGCGTCGATATCCATCACGTTCCCTCTTTATTTCCCTGAACGGTCGCGCAGATGCGATGGGAAGTAAAAACTGTACTTCAGGGAGTGCTTTAAGGCTCTTTTATGAGGAGCTTCCCGTTTCCGAACGGCCTCCATATTGAATGTGAGGTCACATGTGCAGAGAACGAGACTGTTTTAGAGCTGTTTGACTGTAAATGATGCAGTTCTCATCGGACAGACCTGAGATCAGCGGAGGAAGAAAGACGACCGACCAGTAACCGCTCACTGTGAGCCTAATGAGGGACTCTTTCATACCAGACACCTAGCAACCAGCTAAAACTCCCTAGCAACCATACAGCAACGCACTACAAACCACTCCAAAAACCTTAGGAGTGATTGAATGAATGAAAATTGTTCTGGCTTTTATTTTTATTTATCTATTTAATTTTATTGTATTTTATTTTATATTATTTTTGGTTCTTTTTTCTTCTTGTGTAGTGACATAATTTTTCTGTACAAAACAAAATATTATGTACTTCATAAACCATGTACATGTTTTGCAAAAAAGAATAAAGTACAAATAACTACACTACCAGTTTTTTAAAGAAGTCTCTTCTGCTCACCAAGCCTGCATTTATTTGATCCAAAATACAGCAAAAGCAGTAAAAATTGTGAAATATTTTTACTATTTAAAACAGCTGTTTTCTATGTGAGTATCTGTTAAACTGTAATGTATTTCTGTGATGCGCAGCTGTATTTTCAGTATCATTACTCCAGTCTTCAGTGTCACATGATCTTCAGAAATCAGTATAATATGCTGATCTGCTGCTCGAGTGAATGAACAAACAATAACTGAATGAATAATAAATAAACAAACAAACACCAAGCAACCACACAGCAAAGCACTACAAACCACTCCAAAATTATGGAAAATAAAATACATATATAAATACAAAGAAAAAAACAAACAAACAAATAAATGAATAAAGCAACCACATAGCAATGTACAACAAATTACTTCCAAAAGCCTTAGAAACAACTCTAGCGTTGTGTCAGTGAGTTCAGCACTTCATAAAACACAGGAGTCTTCTTCATCCAATCAAATGTGAAAATACTGAGTGTCTGAGGTCAAACTGAAGTTGAAATCAAACGCAAACACCGTAAATGCGCTCAGCTAGAGACGATAGGAGCTTTGCACACAGATAAACACCGGCAGAAAATAAAACTTGAATTTGTTTTGCTGCTGATTTTGGGCAGAAATCTGAGCTGAAATCCTCATCGAATGAGCAGAAATGCATAATAAACAACAGAGACACAGTGACGGGCGAAGGAGAATTAAGACGCAGAATGATGAATTATTTCTCATAATTTGATTCATGCTGCCTCTAAAAATAACTTGATGGCTTCCTGCTCTCATTAAAGGACTCGTCTGCTGATAAAAGCCAAGTATTGCATATGATGTGCAATTTTCCTTTTTATCGTCTTCCATTACGCTTTATTAATATTTAATGAGTTGGCCGTGTGTGTGTGGTTGAGGGCATACGCACAGATATCACCGGACCAATCCATTCCCGATCGGATGGATCCAGAGCGAACCGAACCGACAAACACGCTGCAAATGCCATTCAATTGAGTTGATGTGTCTTTATCGTTCAATCCTGTGATGTAATCAGAGAAACGCTGCCATTGAGAGACTCACAAGACAAAAAAAAATCAATGCGGATTACCCACAAATCCACTGGGCTCTCGGCCTGCCAAGGTGATTATATGTGGCCCTCAAATTACTAAAGCAAACAGGCAAATAAAAGCCCAGCAGCGGCTGTTCGTTTAACCGTCGGCCCCTGAGGGACCCCTGAGGGACCCGAGTGTCTGTTCAGTCCACAGAGAAGCACATCCATTTAATTACTGTATTAAGCTAATGAGTGAATCTCATGAAAGCATGTAAAAATCACACTGAAAACACCTTCAAATTATGTTTTGCATGAGGATAAAGAAGCTTCTTTGACTTACGGCATTTATTTCATGACAATGAAACACATTTTCCTTCAAATTTTTATTACTGTAGTCAAAAAGTGAATTTTCTATAATAATGCATTATTTAAATGTTAAATAATAACAGTAATAATAATAATAATACATTTATTGTTAAAATGGGAAAATAAATTTTTGAATGGCAAATAATACTAATACTAAATAATAATAATAATTTTAGAAATGTTGCCTTGCAATTTACTGGGGGGGGAAATGTTGTTGTTTTTTTTAGCAGCAAATCAGCATTTTAGAATGATTTCTGAAGGATTATGTGAAAAACCTTGTTGACGAACATTTTTCGTCATAGTTTACGTTAACGAAATTAACACTAGAAATGTTTCACCATATTCAAATAAACTCAAAATCAATAAAAGCTCAAAGTAAACTCAAAAATAAACTAAGTGTTAAAAATAAACCCAAAAATGCTAAATGAAGACGTCCATCCTATTATATAGTTTTTATTAATATTTTTAATTAGTTTGTATTTTCTCTGTTTTTATTTTAAGTTTAGTTAAAGGTTTAGTCATTTGATGTGTTTTTGTCATTTTGATTAGTTTTTTTTTTTTTCAGATTCAGATTTAGTTTTGGCACTTCTAAAAACTAATACTAGTAATTTTAGAAATATTACCGTGGCAACTAGCTGAAAAATAAAGTATATCTGTATTTTTATTTTAAGTAACTTTTTATTTTTTATTTTTTTTTAGACAATGTTAGTAACCTCAACTATACTATTTTCTATACTATAAAAATTTCTCATTTTTATATAAAAAAAAAGAAAGAATAATAATTAAACTTGTAATTTTGCTGTGTTTTTGTCTTCTTTCAGTTTTTTCTTCTTCTTTTTTTATATCTCTCCCAGGCCATACTATTACAAAGTTTTATTATTATATATATATATATATATATATATATATATATATATATATATATATATTATAATCAATTTTCTTTTCTTTTATATTTTTCTTTTATTTTAATAATGAAAGTTTTAGTAATTTAGTTGTGTTTTTATCTTCTTATTTTTTTTTCAGTTATTTTGCTACTTCTAATAACTAATATTAGTAATTTTTAGTGCAACTAATCTTTTAAATATTTTTATTTTAAGTCTTTTATTATTATATAATAAATTATTTAAAATAAATGATTAATAATAGTTTATTTGTATTATTATATTTTTCATTTTCCCCTATTTTTTTATTGTAACTTTTTTGTAACCAAACACGCGTGAGCACGGGGAAACCTGTCTCTTTCTATCCGCTCACCTTCTCTCTCCCACACAGACGCTCGTTATCGTCTGATTGTCAGCGAGACGTTCAGAGCAGTAATTGCCACATTTATTAACGGAAGGAAATTGCCACACGCCAGTCGTCAAAATGCTTTTCTCCATCTCTCTCGCTCAGAAAACGTACATAGAAACGAAAGAGAAGAAATAAAGAAGAGGAAAGAGAAGAAAATGTAAGGTAAATGTAAATGTGAGTCATGCAAAACTCACCACAATGACGATAGATGTGGTTGCCGGGGCACTGATATAAGGGTTGCTATGGTGTTATGAAGGAAGTGTGAGCTACTGCTCAATTTTATTTTTATTGTTCTTAAAGATAACTCTTCTGCTCATCAAGGCTGCATTTATTTGATTTAAAAAAATCTGTAAAAACTTTACAATTGTGAAATATTATTACAATTTAAAATAGCTGTTTTCTGTGTGATTATCTGTTAAACTGTAATGTATTTCTGTGATGTGCAGCTGTATTTTCATCATCATTCCTCCAGTCTTCAGTGTCACATGATCTTCAGAAATCAGTATAATATGCTGATCTGCTGCTCGAGAAACATTTCTGATTATTATCAATGTTGAAAACAGTTCTACTGAACAATATTTTTGTGGAAACTGTGATTAATTTTATTTTTCAGGATTCACAGATGAATAGAAAGTTCAGAAGAACAGCTTTTATTTGAAACAGAAATATTTTGTAACATTATAAATGTCTTTTGATCAATTTAATGCGTCCTTGCTGAATAAACAGGGTTAAGGTCTGAGCAGGTCGTTAAATAAATACTAGACGATAGACGAGTTTATTCAGCGCTGCACTTTTGATCTGGTTGAGGAAGGACGCGGCGTCTGAAGCAACACCGCTGATTAGCAGCGACTCCTGCACTCATATTCATGAAGGAAATTAATACAAGTGGTCATTATACAAATAGGCAGAAGCATTAGGAGCCAATAACTGTTTGTGGCTCCATCAAGAGAAGCTGACATCAATTTAATCTGGAGCAGCTGTGTGTGTGAGTGTGAGAGTGTGTGTGCGAGTGTGAGAGTGTGAGAGTGTATGCGAGTGTGTGTGCATATGTGTGTGTGTGTGAGTGTGAGTGTGTGTGTGCTTGTGCGTGTGTGTGTGAGTGTGCTTGTGCGTGTGTGTGCATGTGTGAGAGAGTGTGTATGTGAGAGAGTGTGTGAGTGTGAGAGTGTGTGTGTGTGCACGAGTGTGTATGTGAGAGTGTGTGTGTGTGTGTGTGAGCGTGTGTGTGAGTGTGCAAGTGTGATGTGTGTGAGTGTGCAAGTGTGTGTGTGAGTGTGCGCGAGTGTGTGTGAGAGTGTGTGTGTGCGCGAGTGTGTGTGAGAGTGTGTGTGTGCTAGTGTGTGTGTGTGTGTGTGTGTGTTTGCGTGTGTGTGCAAGTGTGCGTGTGTGTATGTGTGTGTGTGAGCGTGTGTGTGAGAGTGTGTGTGTGTGTGAGTGTGCGAGTGTGCTAGTGTGTGTGTGAGTGTGTGAGTGCGTGTGTGAGAGTGTGAGTGTGTGTGTGTGTGAGTGTGCGAGTGTGCTAGTGTGTGTGTGTGTGTGTGAGTTTGC